CAAAGCCACAGGATTCTGAAAAACCATATGCCTAGAGAGAGAATCATCTCAGAGAACCTGACAAGTAGGTAAGAGCCGGTAACCTGAGCTGGGAGGATTTAACTGAACTTTGGATCCAACCTATATGAGTCATCTTTGCGGTTCAAATGAGCTCTAAGCTACCAGCGCTCGTCCACTGATTCCAAAAAGACGGGCTTCAAGGAAGATCCATTACTTCAGTTTTAAAATACTTATTGAGCACCTAATAATTAGCGTAGGCGCTAGGAATATAAAGATTAATAATTTTCGGTCCTTGCCCTTTAGGAGCGTACACTCTAGCGGGAGGAGTCAAACATATACACAAATAAGTGTATTATGACCTTTAAGACAGACGTTTAGATAAGGTACGGTGGAGGCATTAAAAAGGAAGTGGAAAAGTCTCTGTGGGGAGCCCACTGAATCAAGCAAGACTTTTTCGAGGTAGGGGTAAGCTTGATGGATTGACAGGTAAGCAGTCGAGACAGGGAGCAGCGTTCCGGGTAGAGGAAACCACAGGGCAGGAGGAAACAGCGCGAGCAGAGGCACGCAGGCATGAAACTGCTTCTGCTCTGGGACAGCCCTCAAACTCCTTTGTCTCTAGGCAAGGAAGCGAAAAGCGGGAGAAAACCGGTTCGATCCTCCACAGTAGGATAGGTCTAAAGGAGTTTGGGAATATGAATCTTAGCAAATAGTGCTGCAAGGCAAGATGTAGCCTGAGGACATTAGAAAGCTGAAATGGGAGCCTCCAAATTTCCGAAAGGAGGGGGCTCTGGTGGCGGCGGGGACCTGCCAGGGTTTAATTGCACGGTCGCGGACATTTGGTCCTCAGGGCGCCCTGATCCAGGTTCCTGCTCCGACGGCTGAACCCGCGGATCTGCCAGGTGCACAAAGCCCTCTCGAGGCCTCAGAGCCTGCAAATCCCTCTCACTGAGTCTGAAGCCTACCTGCTCTTCTATCACTGATCGGGCGACTCGCTCCGTGCCGCCGAGAGCCGGCGGAACAACTGTTCCCCACCCTGGCCCACCCAAGGGGCTCACTGCGACGGGCCCAAACTGGGCGCCCGAGGCCCGCCGGGCGCGGGCTACTCACGCGCAGGCCCAGATCCGCGTGGTGGGTACGTGGCGCGCGCCGCATCCTGTTTCTCCAGGCTCCTGAGCACTCGGCAGTCAGAGGCTCGAGGGCCGGCGCGCGCCCTAGCTGCTGCGGGAGCGCGGATTTGTGTTTATCCCCTCACCCTGGTTTTTATTTAATCCTCTCTCCCCTTTCCACCCCCCACCCTCTCAGTTTTGAGAGGTTTCTCTCCTCGAGCTACTTGAGTCAGGCAGTCTAACAATAGCAGTGATTCGAGGCCTACACGTCTGAGAACTCCCAGGGTGCTGGACGGGAAAGGTGGGTGTGTGAGCTGTCACCTCACAGAGTCGTGATCCGGACCGGAGGAAGGACCCGCCTTCCCGGGTACTGCGGAAGCACTCTGGCCTTCTCCTTGGCAAGAAAGTTCGGGCCCGACCTCCTCGCTCAGCGCCGCCTCCCCAAGAGGCCCCACGCGCCCGCGCCCCTGCTGCCATCTCCATCAGGCCTCTAGGGGACCTCCCCACCGTGGCTTTCCTGGCGGCCGCACGGCGGAGGGACGCGCCTTGGCGCCCTGACCAGTGCGCGGACAATGACCCCTTTTCCCCACAACGCCCCCTCCTCCCCGACACCGCCCCCCTCGCTGCCCCCAGGCAAACCTATTAGCCATTCAGGCCGACAAAACCCCGCGGCACCGCGCATTGTCCTGCCGAGCGCCCCGCCACTGTCATTAGTCCTGATTACGCTGAGCCGCCTGACAGCCTCGCGGGCCGCTGGGCAGACCCCCCATTCACCGCCGCCCCCTGGCCCCGCCTCACAATAGGAGCGGAAATCGTCCGCGGTGCCTCGTCCTGGCTGAATAGAGCGAAAAGCTGCTACTCTTCTCTTCCCGCCCCATTCACGTTGTCTTTAGATACAATATTTTTTCCTTTTTGTTAAAATTAGGGAGAGAGAACGAGGTCAAGGAAGATTTTGCTTGAGCTCTTTGCCTGTCATTTGTTTAATGTAAACAAAGAGCAAGTCCTCCCCCACCCCCAGCCTCTCATCCCCCTCCCAACCAGATTTTTATAAACAAACCGAGGACAAGAAAGGGGGTGCGTGTGTGATGGGCGGGGGAGCCATTAAAGTGGAGGAGAGAGTAGCTGCGGCATTTGGGGAGCAGGAGCCTTCGCGCTTTTGGTGGAACTTGCGGGTGGTTAAAATATTTATAACCGGTAAAGGAGCCTGATCTAGGGCTGAGGGTTAAGTCCTCACGTTGGTCAGGTCCTTCGAAATATAAATATGCAGCTTCTTTCCACTTTGCCAGAACTGCTTTTGGGAAAATTGTTACAGGAAAAGAATTTTAAGAAAGAAAGGAAACCATGTGGAGATTTCTTCCAATTCAGAAACCTTCAGCATTGCTACTACCTGAATTTAAAACTCTTTCTAGACCAGGATAAAACTGATACGGAAAACAGTCTCAAAAAGAGGACGAAAACCTTTACAATACCTGTTGATGGGAAGATTTGGACCAATTTCCAACATGTGATCACCAAAGAATTGATTAACCAATCACAAAAGCAGTTAGGTGCCACCGGGTTTCAGATAAACGTGAAAAATCTTTTATATAATATGTCGCCCTTTAAGAGTCTAAAGTGAAATAGTTACATCTCCAGATTGGCAAAACAGCACAGTTACTTATAATGTAATCCCTTAGGCAGCATGTTGCTTTAAGCAAATTAGATGTACTTTAAAGAAAGATGTACTTTAAAGATTTTCACCAAAACACGAAGAAAAATCCTCATCACCGTTTGGCTTCTCTTTTTTGCTAAGCAATTAAGCATTATTTAGAAATTATTTGTAAAAAGCAAGCTTAGTTCTTAGCAGTTACCCTCCCTCTTTTTTTTTTTTTTTTGAGAATGCAGAGTGCATGGACCTTTTCTTCTGCTTTTAGGTATCATTAGAACTGATGAAGGGTGCTGGATTTTAGAATCTCAAATTTCTTTATATCAGTCCACTAATTAGTTCTTTCTCTTCTCTCCTGGATCTTAGAAGCTCAACTTAAGAGATAAAATTTTCCAACTGTCTCCTGGCTCTGGACAGTTAGGATAGGGTGAGGCTAGAGAACAAGACTGGAAAATCTTTGATTTTTCACTTAAGTGCAATACTCTTTGGCAGATTCAGGACTAGGGTGAGGCAAAGGAGGCACCTAGAAGTGCAAAATTTAAGGAGGCACTCACTCCCAGATGCCTTGCTGCACTTGCTTGACCTTGAGAGTGAATGCCTCCTTAAATTTTGTATTCCAGGTGCCTCCCTTGCTTCACCCTCAGTGGGACCCTGGCCCTGCTCCTGGGCATCCTAGGATTACCAGGGGATCTAGGAAACAAAATACAGTCTTGAGGAAGCTCTGCCATCCTAGGCTTTCAGGACCCACAGTTAGGCATTTGCTTGCTTTCTGGAAGAACACCAGTTTGATCACAAAGACTTCCCCACTCCTCCCAGCTAGAGCTCTTGTGCAAGAAAAAGAGTTTTGATTGTCAACAGTTCTCTAAGTAAGAGCCACAATGACAATCATTTATAAAGCCCAAATGACAATCATGTATAAAGCCAAATCTGTTCAAGCAATTTAGAAACCAATAATTGACCCTTATTTATGTCCTGGGCTTCCAAATGTATCTTGCTATTTGACTGCTTTTTGTCTTCCTTGACTTATTTTTGTTTGGTTTGTACATTAGCACTTCTACCCAAATAAGTTAGCATGCTTCTGAACCCAAGAATATCTGTCTGGTAGGGACAGAAGGGCAAATTGAAAAGAGTTCAGTGATGGGCAAGGGGGTTTGGGGTGGGAGTTGTTTGAGGAGGAAAGTTCAGCTCAAGTAATTGAAAGATCAGTGTCAAATTGTATAATATGCAATCCATTTCACTCGGAGGTGGGGGGCGGGGAAAGCTTAGAGACTCTCTGAATAGCATTTACTTTGTTAGCACAAGGACAGTTTTTTGTTGTTGTTGATTGTTTTTTTGTTTTTTGTTTTTTGTTTTTTTGGTATGTGTCTGTGTGCCTGTGTGTGCCTGCACACTTTGGGAGGGCAAATTAAATACTAAGAATATTTGATATTTTTAACTGAAGCCATTACAGGACAATGAGGCTCTGGATGACTTGTTTTATATTTAATACACAGATCAAATTTTGAAAATACCAGTGATTTCTCTGCAGCTTTCCATTTCACCTCCACATGTGACATTACATTCTTCCCCCATCTCACTATATTCTTTTTGTTGAAAATAATGCATTTAATTAAAATCTGCTTCTGCAGCAGGAAGATGCTCATCTCGATATTACAACCTCTCCTATCTTCTTTTGTCTAATTTTAATGAGTTCAACCTTAAATGCAGTATATGCTCACTCTAGCATGATCATGGTGCTTACTGCTTTTGTTATGGGAGGGGATCCTCAAAGGAGATGGAAAGCCTTTCTTATTGCAGAGACTGTGTCAGAATAGTCTTACATTTTTATGAACTAGAACTCACTATCAAGTCCCAGAATTCGGCTTCCTAAATTTTTCTCGAAAGCCTCTGACACTTAATAAAAGTGAGTGTCAGGTGGATAAGCCATAGTTACCTGGGCTGGGAATGTGCAGAGTTACATTATAGGGGATGCTCCTGTTGCCAATTTCTAGGTTTAACTATATCATACACATATATACATATATACATAGGTACATGCATACATACATATGTACCAGCCTACATCCATACACTCAGGCAATTTGACTGGGGAGGTGGTAATGGACCTATTACCATGGATTGTTTTAAATATACCAGGAGACATCGGAGAGGCAAAATATATCATTTGCACTAGGGCCCTTGCTTGCCTGGTGAAAGAATGATTTTTTTTTTTTTTTTTTTTTTTTGGTGGGAATCTGAGAGCAGCTCTCTTAATTAAGAAAGATTGCTCACTAGGTTTTTATTGTTTGGCTTCTTCATACAGAACCCCTTGGCTCCACCCTGTGCCTTTAGAAACAGCAAGTTTCCAAGATACAGAAAAACCTACCACGGCAGTCTCTTAAATAAGTAAATAAACAGCATATATATGTTTTGTTTAAAAAACTTTAAAGCAAAAGATACATATATAACAGCGTCCTTTCGACGTGAAATACCCACGGGAGATTCAGGGCAGGCACTCAGCGTGCAGTTCGGGTTCCGAGGCGTCTTTGCAGCAAAATCCTTGGGAAGAAGCAAAGCAAGAAGAACGTGGCGCTGGGTCGGGCCGCTGTAGTAGCGGCCGGAGGGAGCCAGTGGAGCCCTGCAGGCCATGGGGTGGACTCTGCAGCACGAGATCGCAGGTTTCTCACCCCGAGTCCCTGGCCACCAGCTTTGCACGCGCTGAATTTGCTTGGTCTCTCATCTTCCCTCCTTCCTTCATTTTGCTTGTCTCGTTTTGTACACTGTATTCTGTTTCTGAGCGTGCTGGGTGGGCAGCTCAGATGTCGCACTCGCTGTCACTGGACGTGATGGAGATGGCCGAAGTGGCTGCCTTGCTGGATAGGCTGGCTGCCGGGCTGGCGGCGGCGCCCAGCACCTCGGGCGCACCCTCTTCCTCGGCTCTTAGCGCCCTCCCGGAGCCCTGCGACAAGACTTGCTGCTGGAGTCTACGGGGAAGGAAAGAAATACGAGTCACAGCGTGTAATATAGCCTCCCATTGTCCCCTGGTCAGCATCCTTTAAGACCAGCGGTCAGCGGCTCTCTCTCAGACCCGGGCAGGTAAGCGGGTAAGGTGAGGCAGCAGAGGCCGGGCAGGAGTCCGAAGCCGCCTCTCCGCGGAGCTCTGCAGTTGCCCCATGCTCCTTCAGAGTCCTTTCTCCGCTCCAAGTCTCCCCGGTCTTTGGGATGCTGGGCTCACAGGGTCATTCCTGGTTGGCCACCTTTGAGAGATTTACAATACTGTCAGGATAAATGAGGTGTGGGTGACAAGGACAGAGCAGGCTCTGGGACAGGGGTCCCCCTTCCTAGCTTGTGTCTGCTTGGGGCGGACACTTGTGCCAATGGCCCCCAGGCCCGGTCGACCCAAAGCTAATGGCAACAAGAGCTGCCTGGGGGTTGCAGGGAGCGTTTGGGCCTGGGGGGAAGAGGCTGGCCAAAATGTTCGTCTAATTGAGATCCACACGCTGGAGAATGAGAAGCCACGGCCGACTAGTTTGCTCTTTCGAGACTGGGCTGCCCACGCGTGGGAAGAAAACTGGACTTCTCACTTCTTAGAAACAGAAGTTAATCAAAAACTGCTTTCATAGCATCAGAGAAAGATGCATCTGGGCTTTTAAAATGACAAAAAGCTGCCACATTGCTCCTAATAAACCAGGTTTCATTTAATAACAGGAGTCTGGACCAAGGCTGACAAAAATTAACTTTGGGCCATGGGGTCCCTAATCGTTTCTGGGATTTTAATTTTATTTCTTTCTCCTCAATGCAGCTTTGATTTGGTGACTGGACCCAGCTGCTGGAGCGACCCCCAGGCGCCCAGAACGAGAGGGTGGGGAACCGCGAGCCTGAAGGACCTCCCTCCCACACCCCCGCGCTCAGAATCTCAGGACGCAGGGGGGCTCATAACCCAAGACCAACCTCACTACCAACTCTGCTGAAGCCAAGTCTCCAGGCCCTTGAGTAAGGATGCCCAGGGTGCGGTCCCCGCCTTGTCCCATGTAAACTCAGGGCGTAGAGGCTCTAGGTACCGACCTGTTCTTTGCGGCAGCAGCCCGGTCCCTTTGTCGGCGGTTTTTGAACCAGTTGCCCACCTGTGTAGGGGTCAGTCCAGTTGCCTGGGCGAGCTCACGCTTTTTGCTGGGGTTAGGGTACGGGTCCTGCAGGTACCATTCCCGTAGCAGATGTCGCGTGCGCTCCTTGAAGCAGTGGGTCTTCTGTTCGCCGTCCCAAATGGTGCGCGGCAGCGGGAACTTCTTCCTCACGCGGTACTTGTCCACTGGCCCCAGGGGCCGTCCACGCAGCTTCTCAGCCTCCTGATAATGCGCTTCGAGCCACAGAGCCTGTAGCTTGGAGTGCGACTCCTTGGTGAACTTGTGGTTTTCCAGGATATGGTAGAGCTCTCGGTAGTTGCCACCATGAAAGGCCACGATGGCTCGCGCGCGCAGCACCGATTCATTCTTGTTGAGGGCCTCGCAGGCCGCCGGGGCCACGGGCAGCGACCAGAGGAAGCGACCCAGGCGCTCTACGTCGCCACTCTCCTCCAGAGTCTCGCATACCCCCGCCACTTGCTGGGGGCTGAAATTCAAGATGGGCAGCTGGAACATCGAGGCAGCGCCGGCGGCAGCGGGACCGCTGAGCTGGGAGAGGGACACGCAGCAGATGCCCGCGGTCCCGTTCGGGGCAGCCGGGACGCACCTCCGGGGCGGCGGTGGTGGTAGTGCAACAGCCGCGAGCGAGATAGCAGGAGGGATTGGAGGAGGTGCCGGCCCCGCGGCTCGGGTTCGGCTCGGCTCCGTTAGGGCACCGAAGGCAGGCGACGCGCGCCTCTACTGGGGTGGGTGGATTGGCGGCGCGGGCGCCATGGAGACCCCCTGTCAGTCACTGGCCGGCTCTGCCAATCAAGACCGCGACAAGGGCGTCTGAGCCATTTCAGCACCTCCCCGCTCTCGACAGCGCCCGCCGTTCGCCCGAGCACTTTTCTTCACTATTTTGCCGAACCTGAAGGAGGAAGAGACTTGCCAGTGGCTGGCGATAAAGAGAGAGCGGCAACATTTCAACTCCCTTCCTCCCAGCCTTGTTCCACAGTCCTTCCCCACCCCCACCCTCCACCCTCCCCCAAAAGAGGCAGTGATGCTACAGGAATCCACTTTGGGAAAATGCACTGCCTGGGACAGGAGGTCTCCAGAGGACAAAGAGAACTGGGCCAAATCGAAATCCTCCAAGAATTCGCCAAGTTTAGTTGTAACGGAACAGCAAACTGCAGGGAGCGCACAAATGGGGAGGGAGGGGAAGTGGATCACCTCATTTCTTCCCAGCAACCATCCCTGCATGCCTTTCCTCCTTTTCCAGCTGCCAAAGCAGCCGACTGGGAAGAATCTGAAGCAGAAGGAACAGGACCAGGGATCTGTAGAAGAGGTCAGTTTGGACGTTATCCTCATCACCTTCAAAAGCCTCCTGAAATCAAAGTATGAGTTAGAACACTCTCACAGCTGATAACACAGGTGCTGACCATGAAGTCAAACTCTAGCAAGAAAAGGACCATCACCTCCAAAAGTTTATACTTTTCAGCTTCCTCCCTTCCCCCAGTTTAATGGACTTGAACAAATGTGCAGCATAGCCACATCTAGAGTGAGAAGTCATTGGTAGGTCAGAACAGCAACTTAAAACCTTATTTTAAAGATCTTTTTAAAACATCTGTTTACTCTTTTTCTTGCAGGCTAATTTTGCCCTATCCTGTGTTAGAACATTTAACTCTTAAGCAGAGCGTGTGTGTGTGTGTGGGGGGGGAGGGGGTATAAACTCTAACCTTGGCCTTTTAGCCCAAAAGTAATTAAGTGGAAGTAAAATAGAGAAGGGGGAACCACAGCAATGGGGGAGAGGGGGGAGTAGGGGAGCGCTTCCTAAGTCTTTGAGCAATGACTCCTCCTGCAGAGAAGAGCCTTCTTGGCAGCTCTGCCTTCAGAGCAGCAAATGGAATTGGCAACTTTTATTGATTTCCAATTGACGTTCACATCATACCATTTTCTGAGGCCTGGGTCAAAAGAAACCACAATCTCACCTGGGTCTTTGACTGGGGGTTATTTAGTTTGAAGAAAATTGCAAGAATAAGTCCAACGAAAACGCCAGGAAAACCATCTTTAGGAGTTACATCTCTAGAAAGGAATCAGATAGGAATGTTCACTGTGAACTGGACTGAGCCAGGCTGTCTTTTCTTTAGTATCAAGTACAATTTGTATGTGACTTGTACAGCTCCGGTAAATCAGAAGGCAGATAGATAGCACAGATGGTTGGAGGTGTCGGGTCAGATCATGCTACGCCTGAGTGCAGGGCAAAGCTCGTTCTGACGGAAAACCCTGATATTATTTTCACAGATCTTCGCAGTTCACTCGAAAAAAATAGCAGAGGGGAAGAAATAAGCCCTGCGAGCATTTACATTATTTCTGTGAGATTGCCAGACACCTCAACAGAGAGGCTTACTTTTCTAAGAGCTCATTTTTCTTGAAATGTGACAGGGCAAGAGCAAAATAAAGAGGGCGATGAGGATAATGACAAAGCACAAACCTTTTCTAGCTTGGGGCGACGTCCGAATCTGCCGGAAGGACAACTTTTAGGGAGAAACCAGGCCCACGACCCGCAGCGTAGACAAGCCTGCGGGCCTTGGGGACCGAACCAGGGTGTAGCAGGGGACCCCGGGAGGGCTGCATTCCCGGCGCTTCTGGCCGTGGAAGGAAAGTATCTCCCGGCTCCAGCTTCAGAGATTTCTTAATTTCTCCCTCAGGATGTCTCCCCTCCCTCTCACTAGCAGAATCGCTTCACTCTTCCCCTCCGCGCTCAGAGGCCGCTGCGGTCCAGGACCCCAGAGCTGCTGCCTGCAACCTGTGCGCCAACTCGGCTTGAGCAGAGAAGTTGCAGGTGCCCCAGGGGACCGGTCTCCCTGCGCCCTTTTGCTGCATAGTTTGAAAGCAGCGAATTCGGAGAAAACTGGCTTCTTACCCTTAACTTTTGTGAGCGAGTTGTTAATTTTCCGAGTCTAGATGCCCAATCCAGGAAATGGGAATATTTATCCCATTTCTTGGACAATAATAGTTCTGCAAATATTAGATGAGAGGGCGCGTTGGCTTCTGTGTGTCTGGGGCTCTCAGACGACTGGGACCGAAAGCATTGGTTGACTGCGCTGGAGCTGCGGGAAAAGGGAACAGGCTGCGGGCGGCAGAGTCCGAGGCCCACGGGATGCGGCGTCTGGTCGCTGGGCAGGCGGACCTGGGAAGTGTCTAGAGGCCCGAGTCTACTGTCAGGAGAGCTTACTATCTTTGCCATCGCAGGGAACTTCGTTTAATTTTGTTAACTTAAAGGAAGTAAACTAACCTGGGGCACAATGGAATCATGTATTCGTTCATCAGCTTCACTTGGGGAAAGGACAAACAGAAGAAATATGTGAGCCCCCATCCCTGGAAATGAGAGAAGCTCCGCTGAGTTCCTTAGAAATAACCCCATTGTGGAGAAGGCGATGACCCACAACCCACCCGTAAAGTACACTTCTCTTGGGTTTGCCAGGAGAAAGCTGGACTTTCGAATTGACTTCCTAATTTTATAAAGAGTGGATTTTTACCAGTTTTAGAACTTTCTGCCCTACTCTCCGCCCCCCAGGAAACGTAGAAAGCGCAGCAGCAGCTCTTGGCCTCTGGCCTGTTTGGGCAGCTTTGCTACTTTCTGCGGTTGGTTTGCAGCTCGTAGATTTGGGAGGCCTTGGGCAAATGCTAGATTCTCGCCGGGAATCTATAGATGTCTAGTCTGCTTTCTGCAGACTAATAAAACTCAGAGTTTTATTTTATAGGAAAAATATGGAGGAGAAAAAAACATGCAGAAGATATTGCCCCCAGGCAGAGTCTATGTCTAACTGTTCAGTATGAAACAGCAGGGCAAAGTGACCCCACGGAATTGTGAGGTTCATACCAGAAATCTTCAGAGTTCAGTCTGGGACTTCTTGCACACTTCGTTTTGCCCCTTTGATTTTTCCTTTCTAGAGCAGAGAGACACGTGGAGTACTGGATCCACCCTACTGAGGGATTTGCCAGTGGAGAGCACTGCATAGAGGTCAATACATCCTTACCTCTGGGTTCCAATCTCTTGCTTGTTTTGTCCTGTCTCTTGTCTTATCTTTTCTTCGATTTTTCCTAAATCAAATGTCTGTGGAATAAATGTTGTCTTTGTCTTCTTTCCTACACAATTTCACATAGTCAGGGATTTAAAAAATGTAGTAATTGAATGTATCTGAATTCCTGGATAAAGACATTTGTGCGGCATGTAAGAGTCACAAGCTGGAAGACAATGAGGTTCCAGCCTTTTGTGTATGTCCATTTTGACTTTGGGGGGTAAAATCTTGGTTTCCTTTTCCTGGGCCTCAAAGCTGTGTGTTAAGAATAATTTTTTTTTTTAATCTAGAAAATAAAAAAAAGGTATTTTACTCTTTTTGGAATTACAGTATTTAAATTTCACAATCTCAAACATTTACTAATGAATTTAATATTGTGATTTTCAGATGATGTTATATGCATAAATATAGGTATATTTGTTTATGTATTTGATAGTCCCGATCTTCAGATTGTGGAATTAATTCAATATCCTAGTTTTAAAGTACTAACTATCCTGATAAGCTCCTAAGGTAGATTACTGTATTTCATGCATTCTACCCCTATGGGTATACACCTTGTAACAAAGAACAGAGATGCCTCTTTATTGTATATTCCTGAGAACAAACAGCATTTGAGAAATGTTTTGTAGATTTACTGGCATTGTAAAATTAACTGGCAAGAAAATATTACAATTCAAATACTGATAGAATTTTAAGAGATTAGGATATTTTTGTTGTAATTTGCAAAATTGTTCACCAGCCATTTTTTTTAATGATGTAAAATTGCTTTTATTAAGTGGAGGAAATTTTTATAAGTTTTAATGTGGGAAAATGTACCATTTGAAAATACGATTAATTAGCAGTAATGTTCTTAAAAAATGTTAGGCTGACTATGCAACTCTGTTTTGACCTCTTGATTGTGGTTGCTCTTAGATATTTGGATGCGAATTTGTATTTAAGTCAAAGAGTATAGTAAAGTCATAATCCTTGTTTAAACTATAGTCTTAAATTCACTTTGTCTCTCTCTTTTGCTTCGGTTGGGACAGCTTAAATCTGCATAGGGCTAGCTATGCCATACGATAGCTTGTTTAGGGCTATATATCAATTGGTGGGTTCCTGTGTGAAGGATTAATGCTTAAAAATGTAACCAGTGTGTCACTTATAAATACTTTATTATCAGTAATGAAATATTAGTTGAATGGCTGAAAGAATGATTAATTCGTTGTTCTCTACTAGAACATTTTTTTTTCACCAGCAGGTTATTTTTGAGCATTTTCAAATCCAAAGTATCTTTCTAAAATACACACAGAAACCTTAAAGTTCAATGAAGTGAAAAAGTATAAGGTTTTTATGTCCTCTGAGATGAGCCAAACATTATCACAATAAATTTTATGTGTCATATCTATGTATTAATTACATATATTATATGTATAGTAAATAATAATTCCCTTCTAAATGCTGTAAAATCAAATAGATGTATTAGCCTCTAATAAATACCTTAAATTCTCTGAGTTGATCCATTTGGTAAGCAGAAA